TCCCTCAAAAACCTAACCTGGGTATTTTAGTTTGGGGACTCGTGGTTAAAACTGCTTTGGGTCTTTCGTTTTCGTTTTATGTTTGATGAGCATATGTTTGTTTAGAATTAGAGATTTTGTTATTTTAAAATGGATAGCTTTTTGAATTCATTGTTTCAAATTAGGGTTTTTATTCCTTAATTGGGATTTTTTTACATCAGTTTTAACTGTTAATTTAGACTTTGATGTTTTTCATTAGTGGATTTACCATTATATTACTTAACGCAGTAGCTGAAGTGATTTAATCATGTTTGGGCGTGTTCCAAAGAAGTCTGATAACAATAAGTATTATGATGTACTCGGGGTTCCAAAAAGTGCAAATCCAGATGAATTGAAGAAGGCTTATAAGAAAGCTGCAATAAAGAATCATCCTGATAAAGGTGGAGACCCTGAGAAGGTAAGGATAAAACAATATTTTATAAATAAGGTTACATTTTTGTTGTTCTTTCAAGATTTTGCATATTTCATCATGAATTAAATTTGGCATATTTTTCATTGTGTTTTCCTCTTCCTTTTAAAAATATGGAGATAATATAACTTACAGTTTTGGTTGTTGTGTGCAATTTCCCAAAGATACTCATCTGCAAGTAAAATGATAATGAATTGCATTTGTTTTTTAATTAATAACACTATTTTCTGATACTGCTTCCCAGTTTAAGGAGTTGGCTCATGCTTATGAAGTTCTTAGTGACCCAGAGAAGAGAGAAATATATGATCAGTATGGTGAAGATGCTCTTAAAGAGGGAATGGGAGGGGGTGGTCCTTCTCACAACCCATTTGACATTTTTGAGTCATTTTTTGGTGGGGGAGCCTTTGGTGGTAAGACATGGTGGTGTTTTTCTTTTTCTGTTTGAATTTTCTAGTAAGGGAAGTTTTATTGCAATTTTCAATCACAAATCTTTTTATTGTCTAGGAGGTGGTAGCTCAAGAGGAAGAAGGCAGAAGCGAGGTGAAGATGTTGTGCATCCTCTTAAAGTCTCTTTGGAAGAGTTGTACAATGGGGCTACAAAAAAACTTTCTCTTTCCAAGAATGCAATATGCGGTAAATGTAAAGGGTATGTCTACCATCACAACTATTATGTTTAACTGGATTTTCTTTATAGAAAATGTGACTTTGGACGCGTGGTGCTTTGAGGCTAATTCCTTGTCAAATAATATCAATGATTCTTTTTATGTGTAATTAACATCTGATATCTTCTTCTAATTTACCATAATTTCTCTTTTTTGTGTATAATGTTCTATTTATGTGCTTAAATTGTTTCATAGGTCTCAACATCTTATATCTTTTAATTACACATCACTTCTCTTTTTTGTGTATGATGTTCTATTTACGTGCTTGAAAATATGTCATAGGTTTCCTGAGAATCATATCGACTACTGTTGTCTGTGTAGTTGTGCTAAACCTGTACTTGTTTTCTTTTCATTGTCATTTTCTACGAGTTGGAGCTGATGCTCTTTGCTATATTTACTCCTATGCTGTAACTTTATGAGGCTATCATTGAAGTTGTTTGTCTCGTGTTCCCGCTGATGACCTGTATATCCTCTGCAGGGAACCTTTATTGACTGATTTGATTACATTTTATGCACTTTCATTCTGAAAATTTTCAGGAAAGGTTCAAAGAGCGGAGCTTCCGCTGAATGTAATGGTTGCAAGGGTACAGGTATGAAAATTACAAGACGGCAGATCGGAATTGGTATGATCCAACAGATGCAGCATGTTTGTCCTGAATGCAGAGGATCAGGTATAGAAACTTGATCTTCGTTTTCTTTGGCTTAGTAAACATTATATGTCGGAGATTATGAACATTGGATTTCCTTCCTTGCAGGTGAGGTGATTAGGGATCGAGATAGATGCCCCCAATGCAAAGGAAACAAGGTTACTCCGGAAAAGAAGGTTCTGGAAGTACACATTGAGAAAGGAATGCGAGATGGTCAGAAAATTACATTCGAGGGACAGGCTGATGAGGCTGTAAGTGAAGTAATTTTGTCTTTTAAGTAACAATTTTCTAATAATTTCAAGCTTGATCATATTTTTGTTCTTGTCATTTGCAGCCAGACACTGTAACTGGAGACATTGTTTTTGTATTGCAACTCAAGAAACACCCCAAATTTGAAAGGATGATGGATGACCTTCAAGTGGAACACAATCTCAGTTTGACAGAGGCTTTGTGTGGGTTTCAGTTTGCCCTGACTCACCTTGATGGCAGACAACTCTTAATTAAATCAAACCCTGGCGAGGTCATTAAGCCTGGTAATTTCTTCGGCATATTTTGTTATCATATAAAACTACCATTGAAGTTGATATCATATTCACTCATCTTCTCTCCCTTGCTTGAAAATGTAGGTCAATACAAGGCTATCAATGATGAGGGTATGCCCCAGCATCAGAGACCTTTCATGAAGGGCAAGCTAATCATCCATTTCAATGTTATTTTCCCAGAATCTGGGGTATTTTCACCCGAGCAATGCCGGAAGATAGAGACTGTATTGCCCATGAGGCCTAGCAAGCGCTTTACTGAGATGGAGCTTGATGACTCTGAAGAGACCACTTTGCATGATGTCAGTGCTGAGGAGGTGAGGCGGAAGGAACAACAATCGCATAGTCATAGGAATCGTGAAGCTTATGATGAAGATGATGAAGATGACTACGAGGAGTCGGGACAAAGAGTGCAATGTGCCCAACAGTAAGAAATATTTGAGCATTTAATTGCTTTCCCCTAGTATTTATAGCAGCAGCCAGTTATTGAGACACCACATTGCTCTGAACTTATGGTAGTAGTGACTGCAACCAGCATATTAAATTAGTATGTTTTCTTTGCCTTTCCGGCATTTTGTGTTATTTCATCACAGTTTGACGTTATTTTCACGGATATATCTATTATGTTAGACGCTAATTTTGATTATATATATAATATAATTTTCTTTGAGTTCCTACCTTCAAATTGTTCGACCTTATTGACCAAAAAATTAATCTTCAACCTTTGTTATTTCAAATTTATGAAGTCTTGTTATATTAAATTAAATTAGCTTAATTTGATTGATTATATTGATTTGTTAGTTAGAACTTGCTTTCAATTCATGAAAAAAAATGTTCTTTTACCCTTCTATTATGAAGAGTTCCATAAACAAGAGGAACTTTTAAGGTCGATGTCAATCCACAATGCTTAGCACAGCTTGATGGCTTTTAACTTCCACTTCTACTCTACTTTTTCAATTAAGTTTAATTGATCAGATCACAGTGTAACGTCAGAAATCTTTATTTAATTTTAATTAAATCGGATGGCTTAAAACATCATTAATGTTAATACTTTTACATGTATTTGTAATTTAGTTTCGATAGTTTCTTTCATATTAAATGATAATTCAGACGAAATTTATGAAAGATCTACCCAAAGATTGGAGTCTTACCATCAATGGCAACGTCTACTTCATCATGTCGTTACTACCTAACAAAGAGGAAAAGCCTCTTGTGAAATGTTCCCACTAGAGTTCACAATTGCCACGCTTGCTGATTTGCCCTTGATTTGATTACACTCGACTAGCTTGTTAATGGAAATCAACTAGGGGTGGTTTGGATTTAGACTTGTCTGGTCTCTCACAAAACACAATTATTGTGGCATAAATTGTCCTTTTATTTGGAGATTTATATATTAACGGGAATATAATCATTTTTAAGCCAATGATAAATTTGTTCACATGGTTTTGGATATGCTCGGGTGAGGCAGGCTTTGGTTAATGGCATTTTGAGTTGTTAAATTTGAAGAACAATTATACTGAATTATTGTATGGACTGACCCCATGGAAGTTCCAAGAACCTCTGCTTTATATTATTAATTTCTGATGGACCAGAAAAGAGACAAAGATATAAACTCGCTCGCATTAGAAACTTTGGGAATGCAAACAGCAGTATTGCATGAGTGAGTGACAGATATGAAGTTAGCTTGACGGGGCAAGGGTCTTCCTACAGACAATTATTACAAATATCTCAATGGTTCTTCAATGTCTCTTTTTAATAGGTGGTCCATGCGTCCATATTCAGGGCTATAATATATAGAAGATATTGTGTTGAAGGTTGAAGGTGATTCGCACTATGTGTTGAGAGCCCAGACTGTCGAAAACCTTTTGTTACTGGGAATGTAACAAGTTGTAACTGGAAGGAGGGTTTAGTTTCCTGCTTAGTTAACTCGTTGATACAAATAAAATTTGAATAAATAAATAACAGAAATAAATTCGAAATTTAGGATGGACATTTACATCCGCCGGTGCTCGTTGGCTAATAATAATACGAAATCTGGAATCAGAGCCTCAGCATCTTGACCCCGCTGCCATGTGCAAACGTATATCTCGGTTCTTGCTCTTGTCATACATACATGAGCATATTCTTCAGATGATGGTCAGTAGATTTGATTATGACTTAATTATCAAATTCAAGATGTCATTCGAATCCATGAAGAAAATTACGGGTTCAGTTCCCATGGCTGCTTTGAAAGCTGTTTATGCGCAGAATCGTATCACAGTCGTCAGATTTCCATTTTGTAGTGCATCCGATTTTGTGTTGAATGAACAACAGGACTGGCCCTTCGATAAGAAAACATTTCAGTTGGCAGAAAACCAGTGAGAAAGCTATGGCAGTGAGGGCAGGGAAGTGATGTATTGTTGGACCAAGCTGAAGGCGACATATCAACGACCTATCCCTGGGCTAAGCTACTTAAAACCAGTTCAATCAAAGAACTAACAGCAGTCCAAATCCAAATATGATTTCTCACTTCAATTTTCCACATGGGTAAACAAATTACTGAACTGTACTCGCTTTATGCCATGGACCCGACCTTATTTTTTTCTTTATATAATTATTATGCAATTTTCTTTTTAAATAAATAAAAAAATGAAATTTCATGGAAGAATCATATAAGCTCCTACTTCTATACCACTGTCTTATATCTCAATCACTCCAAATTCTTTCTTTACTAAGCCATGGAAAGAGATATCAACAGTCAGAAAGATGCTCATCATAACATGCTTAGCTCTTCTTCTGTTGTCTCCGCCGCTGCTGCCACCGCCGCCGCCGTATCCTCTTCCACTTCAAAGTACAGTAGAGGTCACAAGGGGTCAAAGAAAAGACAAAGTAGTATTGATATTGGTGACAGCAAGAAGCATCTTACATACCGAGGGGTACGTATGCGAAGCTGGGGGAAATGGGTGTCTGAAATCCGAGAACCGAGGAAGAAATCAAGAATATGGCTTGGAACATACCACACGGCTGAAATGGCTGCTCGAGCTCACGATGTAGCCGCATTGGCCATCAAAGGCTGCTCGGCTTACCTTAATTTCCCTCAACTCGCAAAACTACTTCCCCGACCCGCCAGCACGTCCCCCGAGGACATCCAAGCAGCAGCTTCGCAAGCGGCTGCCTCGACATTTCTCGAGACAAGGCGGTGCAACATCGAAGCCGAAGATGAAGTTGGAGCAAGCGAAGAAGATCAAGCTCCTCTCTCAAGTTCACCCTCGGTCGACGATGATGACACCTTGTTCGATCTGCCTGATCTCATGATCGATGTTACGGATCGAAGCGATGGATTCAGGTCTTATTCTTCAACATGGCAAATATGTGCAGTCGATGCAGGGTTCCGGGTAGAGGAGCCATTCTCCTGGGACTACTACTAGGAAATTAATGAGCGTATATATTGAACCGATTCTTTTCATGGTCAATAGCTCCAACTTTGAAAATCCATCATCAGTTCACACAATAATCAATTGCATTTTCTCCGCAGAAGGAACCCAATAAGGAAAACTCCTTCTCTGTAACGCCAAGTTTGTTTTAAGTTGGAGATACATGTAATCATTTAGCAAATGGCGAGTTTCTTCTTTGAGTTGTGACTGTAATTCTCTACCAACTTTTGTTTATATATATATAATACAATGTAAAACTATTTTAATTTTAGACAAATTTAAAACCGACGAAAAATAGATATTTGATATTAACATTATGAAATGAGAAGATATTTATTGGAAAAGAAAAAAAAATCAATCTCAATCATCTATTTTCCAATGATCTTAAATCTATATAAAATTAAAAAAAATTATATTATGTATGTGGATCTTAACCTTATATACTTATATATTTATCAAGCAATTTTATATTATTATTAACTTCAGCGCTATATTAACTTAAAACCTAGTAGCCTTCACTAATGTAACTTTAGACTCAAATGAGCACTTAATTTAAAGTCTCTAAAGACAAAAATAATTACCGTACAAAAAAAAAAGGTAAACACTTGCTAGTTATGTGGCAGTCCATGGTTTGGAAAAGACCTCAAAGAATGAAATCAAATGAGTTGTACTCAAATTGGGTAGAAGGATTAGCACGAACGATAGTTGTTTATGAAAATTATAAATTTTAATATAATTTAATTTTTTTAATTATAATTTACTTTTAAACTTTTACAAGTTAATTTTGTGTTTATTTCTAATTGTACCCTCTAAACTTTCTTTGCAAACTATGTTTTTGCTGCCAATCTTTCACCCTCCAAAATTTTCAAAAGTCTATGTAGATTCATGTCTTCCAAACAGTTATAGTCATTTGATCTGTACACTGTCAATCTCATCGACGTTAAATCTAATGTATGACGATTAGGTATACTCACCTTGTTGACTTATAAAGAGTCATCATCGACTTAAGTCTGATATCAACACTAAAGGTCTATATATAAATCACTATGCAAAACTGAAAATTTTTCAATCAGTTAATTTAATTGTTTATCATCTTTCTCATATCACATACTCTCTCTATCTTTCATAAAATAATAGAGATTTTTCATCCACATTAAAACAAATGAATCGTCGAATGTTGTCACAATCTTACTTTTTTTTTCTCTCAACAAAATGAGATGGTGAATGATTCCTTAGCAAAGTTGTTTGTCTTCAAGGAAATTGGTGATATAGAAACGAAGACGATGAAGAGAATGAATAGTTTTGCTTTTGCCCTGCAAAACCCTTTTTTTTCAAAAGGAAGACATGGGAGATTCCAAAGATGTGTGGACATACATAGAGGAGAAGGCAGACAAAGTGTCAGCACTAACTAAAGTCATTTCCCAAAGCCCAAAGATATACAAGCAAAAAGATAAATATCACGTGCGGTAGTTTTAATATACGGTTAAAAAAATGTTATTGATTTTGTTATTATTTAAATAATAAAATCGTTAAAAAATTATCGAAAATATTATTTTTCTATTGATTTTTTTATTATTGGGCGTTTTACCGGTTTTGTTAATAAAATCGCGCTACCGATTTTTTTATTTTTTCTACCGGTTTTGTTATTGTTTGACATTTTACCATAAATATTAAAAAAATTGATATTTTAAGTAGAAATAATAATTTTTTGGGTAATTTTTAACTAATTTTATTATTTAAATAATAACAAAATCGATATTTTTTAATTATATATTAAAAGTGTGTACTGTAAAACTTCAGAACAAAAAAGGCGTTCATTATAAATGGGTTAAAACCATTATTTTTCTTAGTGGCAATTGACATCACTCTCGATATCTCACACTTTATGTATTTCTCATCATATATGGTAACCAGAGACCCACGATTCGGGTTAAACATGTCTTGTGGCATGGGTTTCGGCTTCCATTCATTATGCTAATCTAAATCTTCAAACCATGTAATCAAGATTGCATGGAAATACAAAGAATGAGAATTCAAATCATATTCTGTTACAATTTTAGTATTTGTCTTTATGATTTTAATTATATTTTTATTAAAGTTTAAATCATAAGATAATAAGGTAAAATTTGAGCTTCTACTTCAAGGCTTGCAAAAGAAAGATTTTAAAGGTGTCTAAGTTACACTTCGATTACTCGTCCATGATTAAATCAATAAGGGTTTTCCAAAAGAAAGAAACAGTGGAAACATTAATATTTCTTCAGAGGAAAAGGTAATATATAACGATCATAAATAATAAAAGATGGTCCATTCTTCTTGTCCTTTGCAAACAACCTAATTTATCATTTATTTTAGGATTTACATGCTGACAAGCACGAGGGTTCTTAGCTTTTGTTTTCGGACTCCCATCATCACATGGTTGCTCAGTTAATATTCTTTACACACATTTGGATCCTTCATAATCTGATTCTGTTTTCTCATCTTGGTATGGTTTTTTCTTTCCTTTTTTTGGCTAATTCTTGAGTGAAAAGAGATTGCAGGAAATTTATGGAACTAACCACACATGCAGTAGTTTATAATCAGAAGAGATATTTCTGCTCGTGAGGCATTAACATAGAGACTCCTTTAGCTATAGCGCTACAAATTTGCTGCTCTAAAATAGAGTTCGACATCAATGACGACTGAAGAATTGTTACGAACTCGCTGTTTAACCCGATCAGTGACATGCATACAATAATTTTAATTCTCAAATCTCTCTGAACTGATACTCCTTGATGGTATTTAATCATTTGGAGAGAGATGAAAGGGAGAACATGTGCATGTACTGAAAAGACAAAGAACTGTGTTTCTTGCATCCAAACTGAAAAGAACCAGACAAACACTAAATTTTTGTTTTAAAGGCTGTTTATCTCTACTGGCTGCGTGCAAAGATGTCACAAGGGGTCAGCCTCTTTTTCCTTTTTTTTCTCCTTTCGCAGAAAGCAAACAAAGAAGAGAAACTCAAGGAATCCTATGTTTCCAGCGTATTGTGCACAAGAGATGGCAAACAGTTAGATCCTGCAATGCTACTTTAACACAGTAATTAGCCAAGTTAATCAACCAGCATGCATGTCAGTTGGATCTTGATCGGGTCTATCTATAGGGGTCCACTAAGGCTTGGTATCGGATAGTTCGGATGCTAACAATTGGTGGATGATTTGAGTCTGCTACAATATTCTGTGCGTCTTCTTCAACCTCTCTAGCAAAGGGCTTAAACCCCAGAAAAACTCAGAAAACTTGGCAAAAACGAAAGTAGAATTAAGACAAATGAAGAACCTGTCTGCAGTCTGCACTCAAAGAGAAGAGAATTGAGATCTCCTGGCCGGGCCCCTGCAGTCTGCATTCAAAGAGCCTGGATACAAGCCGTGTTAATGCCCATACATAATAACAAGTATAAATGGATTAGCTGGCCATGAGAATCTCAATTAAGTGATTAGTTATGAATGAGAGGAAATGAAAGATTACGAGCGATAGATGCACAGGCGTGTTGTTTTATCACTTAATAATCCTATATCCCGACGGATGTGGATTCTAGTTTCTTATGCATGACCACGTTAAAGCTTCAAATATTAGCCTACAGATATCTGATTAATGCAGGCAACTCTACAACCAATGTACCTTGTTTCTCAACCTGCTGAGGACAATATTTTATTGATCCGAACTTATGATGACAGCATCACGTAAGACAACTGTGGTAAACAATCAACTTTAAATAATCTGCAAATAAAAACTTAAAGATTCTGTAGCTCCAAAAAGTTAAATATGGAGGGAAACATCATAAAAACAATAAAATTAAGTCAAATCAGCAATTTGGAAACAAACAAGCAAAATCCGGGAGGATTTGCATTGACCAAATAGACAGGAACCCTCTAATTCCCATCAAGATTCTTTTCCATCATCTCTCTAATATAACAACACATGAGAACGGAGAACCTGTGTGTGGACATGAATGCATCCAGTGTTGTGCAATGCACTTGAGATGCTGGCCAAAGCTTGCAGCACAAACTGGGAGACGACTTCCAATGATCTTTTGTACAAAAGGGTTGCAGAAGAGGAGGTAGCATTTTGTAACAACCACCTGAAGAAGAGGCAACCAATCTCTAAGCAAACACAGAGAATAGAAGGAGAAAAATGTCAAACCAAGATCGTTGTTTGTAACAGAATTGAACAATTACCTCTTTCGGTCTATCAACACAGATGCTGCACTTCAGTACTTCTTTGTACTCTTTAAGTTCGTGTCGAAGCCTTTGTACAGTTGATGATCCTTCAATCTGAACTTGAAGACGCAGCACCTTCCTCCGCGCCACTTCCATTTCTTCCTCATTCCTTTTCTTGCTAAACCTAATAGATGAATAAAGTGTAGAAACACTAACATGAATTTATCCCATGTACTTAGAGCAAACTGAAACATAGAAATTACTAAATATACTAGGCTTACCTTTGCCTCTCTAATTCTATCTGCAACTCCACCAATGCCGCCCGATTTCTCTCAATCTTAGATTGCGAGTCCTCCAGTGACTCCCTTGCCTGATGAGATGATCTTCTCACATCTGATATTTGTTTGTGTAATTTCCAATGAAACTGAGTTTTGAAATCTTGCTTCTGCAAGTTTCTGAACCTGATCTGAGAGGAACCTCAGCTGCAAAAGTAATTGCTCAAGAGTCAAAAATCATATTACTTTTAGAAGATTATTTCATACAAAATTAAGTCAATGAATACCTGATCCTCGATTCTTGCAGCTTTCATCTCATAGAAATCAAGAGATGCAATGGCTTGCTGAATCTCCTTCTCCTTGGTATGTTTTTCGAATAGTAGAGTATCTTGAGCTGCTTTGACCTCACACCTTCCAGAAAAAACTGAAAGAGGACCATAGTTTGCCTCACATGCTCTATACTGGAACAACAGATTAACAGATCTTCCGGATTTAAAATGATGCACTCTCGTCTAATCATAGTTTTCCCTGGGTGAGTTGCAAATGGAAGCTTCTATTCCATGTATGACCCTTTTTTTCATTTTGTTGTGCAAGAACGAATGAAAACATGGGAAAAATT